AGGGGAAGGGGGGGAGGGTGTAAGAGGATGTTATTCACGTACAAGATGAGGGGAGGGGAGGGGGGATGAAAATTAATCTAAGTCTCATAGATCTAAATTCTAAACAGGACATAACTAATGAGTAGAAGACAGATGGCATCACCTATGAAGTAGAAATCAAGGTGCCTAGGATTGACAAGAACACGGATTGAGCCTAATAAACCAATGCATATTTGCATCTTGACAAGTGAACTTTCATTGTAAGCACTATGCACTATTTTGATCAGCACAATTGACAAGTGATTTACGAAGAACTAGCAAATAAAGTTTGTTCCTCCCTCAGTTTTCTACTATCATCCCTGACTAAACTCATCAAGGGAAACCACTGCTGCATTTCTGTAGGAACAGGACCAGCACAACTTACACTATTGTTTGGTTTTCAAAAAAAGCATCTATCTATTAAGAAGTGAGAAAATAAAGAAATGAGGACACTTCCTATAAAAGCACATTGGCCTGTAATGGAATGTGCCTAATATAGTAAGCATTTCAACTTTCACTAATTCATGAACCTGAAGAAAATTAGGGTGCTTTGTTTGATATATCATATAGAAGAAACTACAATCTCTGAAGTTAATTCTACCAGCTGCTCAATATCGAACTTAATGTGATATTGATCTGGCACTTTACATCTCTGTAGTGCTAAACACAACCAGATCTAGGAATGATAGGTATGTTGAAAATCAGCAGTTTGAAGTTATATTACCAAAGATTTCCAATAAAACTAGAATTCACACACTTATTAAGCCCTAATTAAAGCAAAATAATTTAGCCATTTCATTGTCCAACATATAACTTCTCTCCATACTGAAGGAAGCTTCAACTTTGTTGTTAGTTACAAAAATACGACCCACAAAAGACCGAAGAGAAACCTGGGTAGAGCAAAGAACATGTCTGCAATTGTTTTCTTTAGTGTATACACACTTCATGCATAAACCAATGATTCTTAAATTGGAACCAGATGGTAACTTATGATCCTATACACATTCTCCCCTAACAAGATTCATGTGCAAACCATATGTGAGAACTATCTCAAAACACAAAGCATACAGCAGCGCCCTAACAATACTTAGAGACGCAATAATGTAAGGTGATTAATTATGCCAAGAGTTGGCCGGCTTCAGATTTTAATTGTTTAACCTCTTAAAGTCTTACAAAGCTACCTTTTCAGGATCAGTAACTCTTCAGGACTAAAACTGACTATACAACTGAAGTCTCTCCAACATGGGTACATCTTAATACAACAGTGTAGTTCAACACCATATAAGCAAATATACTGCAAGACTCTAAGTGACACTAACACCTCATAAAAACTGGAGATCATACACTGTGATAGTGACGTATAGTTTGTAACCAGAAAGTGACAATAAATAAGGTGTCCAACTATCATAACAACCAGAGACTATCATCGTGATGCACCTCGCTATTAAGTAAGACGATTGGCTTCAAAAAGTTTGGTAAATCAGTAAATGTGTTGGGTTTCTAAAGCCCCATATATGTGCAAAAGAAGAAATGAGTCTTCAAGCATCTGTCCACCCATTTCCTATCAAAGTACTTGTCCATCACATGTGAAAGTTTGACTCGACCTCATGTATATCATAGATGGATCTTGGACTTAAAGCCTTCAAAAATAAAAAGATACTTTACTAAAAATTACGTAGTTATTTCTCATGAATTCTATTTTGAACAGTTATTTTCAGAACTTAACTACATTGCAAAAGCTACCGCCTTCTGTATCCTAATATCAGAAACACAAGATTATGAAGTATCAGAAACTGTATACCAATTGTCTATGAATATCCCAATTTAAAGTACAAGCAAGAAAGAAAGAGCAACAAACGAACAAATCTCTTTGTGAAATAGTAACAAACAGTTGGTAGACAAGCCGGACATCAGTCAGAGCATATATTTTTCAAGCGATCCGCCGCAGATTGGTCAACCGAATACTGAAAAACAACAAGAAATCGCACAGTGGTCTATCAATTACTCGATCCAATTCAAAATAAACGTTAAAAAAAAACAACGGTGCTACTAAATTGTACATTTGCTAGACCGCAAGTCCCTCTATTTTAGTGCTAATGGATACCTTTTTGAGGACCCAGAGGGAATGATTGTAAGTTCGTTGAAGGAGTTCTTGGAGAGCATTTGGATCATTTGAGTCGATTTCTCTGTAGTTGACGAAGTTTTCTCGGGCGTATTTTGCGTAGTAAGGTCGTGAGTCCTTGGGAAGTCGCCTCACCAGCCTCAGCACTTCCCTGTAAGCACCTATAGCTTTCTGCATTTCTTGAAGAATCATTTAGCACCGATCCTAATTTGCAAAAAAATGTTCCCCTCTTCTCCAAGCTATCTAATGCGTAGTGATATACTTTTCCGAGTCCCGACTCCTGTGAAGCCTTATGGATCGGGTCCAGATTTAGTGCCGGATTATTGTTGAACCATTGACGTAATGCTACATTAAATTAAATTGAAAATAAAAAATATAAAGCAAGTTTTTTTTCCAAATAACAAAGGCAAGATTCAGATAAAAATGGTAAACATAAGTTTTGTCAATCTGGTAAAATTTATGAATATTTAACCAAATATATAGAATGAAAGATTGTATTTAAAGTTATGTTCAATTGATACTTGATATAACTTGTCAACCATTAATAAGATATATAAAAAATTGTATCTCATTGACATAATTTATGAGAATAAGATAAGATCTGTCAATTTCATTGAACTCCTAAAAATTTAACAAAATAAGTAAAAGTTGAATAATATTTATATTAAAATTTTGTCCCGCCAGACATAAATTGTGAAACTGGATCTTTTCGTTCTTATGAGTTATGAATATGTAACATTAGTCATTAGATTATTATAGTTTTAATATTTTAATATTAACGATATTTAAACAGTGCCAATTATACTATTTGTGCAAAGTATCATGAGTAGGGGTGTTCACGGGTCGGTTATTGGTTAAAATTAAAATCAAATCAACTTAATCGGTTTTAAAATTATCAAAATCAAACCAAACCAAATATAATATACATTTATCGGTTTGGTGGTTATCAGTTTTGGTTTGGTTTGGTTCGATTATTCGGCTATTAACCATACATAAAAATAAAAGAAAAAATTCATTCAAAATATGAAAAAAGTGACAACAATCCATTCAAAACAAAAAAAATAGTTAGAATGACTGAAATTATTGAACTTCCGATCACTGAATTTATTATGATTAAAGCTTTAAAACTCACTATATTGGCTTAGAAGGAAGAAACATTAACATTTTCAGAAGGAAGAACATTTTCAGTCCCACAAAGATTTATCATAGACACTCTTATACATGAAATCAATAAAATAAATATTTTCACCTTGGACATTTTTGCTTTCAATAAGTAAATTCTAAAGAAATTATAGTGAAAACATATAAGATCTTTAAAATTATTTATAAAAATAATATATTAAGTATGTATATTAATAAAATGTATGTATATAATTTATCGGTTTGGTTCGGTTATTTCTTCGATTTTTTTGAATAAAACCATAACCAAACCAAATACTATTGGTTTTCAAAAATCTAAAACCAAACCAAACTAAACCCAAATAAAATCGGTTTTATTTTATCGATTTGGTTCAATTTTTCGATTTGGATCGGTTTTTATCCAAATCGTGAACACCCCTAATCATGAGTGAGGGCCAAAACCCAACATGGTACTGGGCCTAATGTATTTCTCCACTACCAGGCTGGCTCAGCTTAATTTGGTTAGCTACTCCTAGTCTCAGGATTTGGCTCCCTCCATTTTATTTTATTTTTCAGAGTTCTTATTAGAGCAAATTTTAGGTTTAGCAAACATAAAAATTATATTTGCATGATATAACTATAGTTTGTATAATTGCGCTCCATAATAAATTTTTATGTTTGCTATAGGCTATTAATATGTATATTTCGGTATACATATACAAAAGAATCAATTTATACTTTGTTTCGGTATACATATACAAAAGAATCAATTTTATAATTTGTTTCGGTATACATATTACAAAAGAATCAATTGTATAATATGTGTTTGTATAAAGCGAGAAAGAGAGAACGACAAAAGAAATCTGGGAAAGGGAAGATCTGTATTTGTATAATTATAAGTGTATAGGACGAAAATATATGTATTTGTATTTGTATATACAATTTTCTCTCGCTTTATACAAACACAAACGCAATTTATACATTTTTGTTTGTATAAAGTGAGAGAGGCGAGTGAGAGTGACGAGCGAGATTCTTTGGGGAGAGAGGCGAACGAAAAGATATGTATATATATAGTTTTCACTTACTTTATACAAACACAAACACATTTTATACAGTTCAACAGTTTGCTACGGGTTACAATTAAATCAAACTGTGGTTATAACATTTAATTTGAATTAATAATTTGCTATTTTATACAATTTTCCGTTCTTATTCTCTTATTAAATGGACACGTGTCAATTTTAATTAGTAGTATAACAATTTCGACTTAATTGCTTTTAGCCATTAAACATACTTAGGATAATATATATTTAATTTTTATGTTCCACACGATATATTTAATAAAATATTAAAGAACATTTGATACATTATTGATGTCTTTAAATTTAAGATCAAAGAATTTAAAAATTCTTAAATTATTTTTTTAATTAAATTAAGACGAACAAATTAAAATCTATATATGCTTTACAATATTTATAACTCTATTTTTAATGAAATCACATGCACTTTCGTGGACTACGAGTTTACAATAACATATATGCATGGAGAATTCAACTTTATTCCCCTGGAAAGAAAAAGAAATCGTTCTAAAAATTAAGCCGTGAAAATCTACCGCCAATTAATTGACAGAGATAGTACTAGAAATTAACACGTCTATTTCACGAGAGTCCATCAGGAGAGTCCTTACTTCGTTTTTAGGAACTGAGCGTGGAATATAGTATACCGTAAAAGCCAGTTGCATGTATATTTGTGATAGGCGGCGGATTCAAAATTTCCATTATAAGAATTTGAAAAATAAAAATACAGTGATTGAGATCTGACCTAATTGGAATCTTAACGTGAAATTTGAACTCCCAAATAATCGAAACAATCTATATTTTTGTATTTAGGGGTTCAAGATCACTACTACAAAAACAGTTTTTAGTAGCAATAAATATACACATTAATATAAATAGTGATAAAACTTTTACCGGCATTGTTGATTGACATTAGATTCAATGTCGCTATAAGCTTTAGGGACTTTTATAAAGAGTGTTAATCACCACTAAAAATATACTCCCTCCGTTTCACAAAGAATGACCTCCTTTCCTTTTTAGTCAGTTTCAAAAAGAATGACCTCTTTCCTTTTTTGGTAACAATTTACTTTTTGCTTTCCACGTGGCATGTTTAAGACCACAAGATTAAGGACAATTTTGTACATTTGACTTAACTTTAATTTAGGACCACAAGATTCAAAAGTCTTTTTTATTTACTTAAACTCCGTGCCAAGTCAAACCAGGTCATTCTTTGTGAAACGGAGGGAGTATATATTTAGCGGCAATTAAACTATATTATTGTTAATTAATTGTCGCTAAAGATTAATTTTGATCTACATATGTACATAAAAAAAACTTATATATATATATTTTGTAAAATAAATTTAGATGAACACTCTTCTGCCCCTGGACCCTTGTGAACTCCCCAATTCATGATAATGACTTATAAACCATTATCTTCTCATACAATATTGAAAACATCTACTTATTAAATTTATGTTGCCCTCGTCGAAACCCATGTCTCCGTTTTGTCATTGAAACATGAAAGGTTGCTAACTCTCCACACACTCTTTCTAAATTCTCATAGAAATTTGGCATATTTGCATGCATGACTCCGACGTCCCTTCTATTTACACCACATAAGTCTCTATCCTAATTAACTAATAGTACCCTAAGAAAAAACAATATTTGTATGTTTCCCCAATAATTCTTCTCTCCAAATACAAATCAAAATAGAAAAATATTTACCAGAAAAAATCTTTTAAACATATATGGAACATTTAATGCAATAAATTATAACCACTAATTCTTTCGAACAAAATTACCTCCATGTTGGCCACTCTCTCTTCACTCGTTCACTTTATAAATTCTCACTTAGCTCCCACACAAGTATAACCTTAAAACTTTCAAAAGCAAAATTAAGACACAACAAAATCAAACACAAATCATGGATGTTTGGTCTTGGATATGTGAACTTCTTGACTCAGAAAAATGGAGTATCGAGAATGATGATTCCTTTCTCATTTATAATCTTGCTACTTCCATAACCAATTCCAGTCAGTCAATTCAATTCAAAGCTGAGAAAAAACTTGACCCTAATAACACAGAGACAAATTCTTCATTGGTTTTCTCTATATGTTTGTTGGGGTTTCATGACACCTCTCAAGAAGAGGTGACCATCTGGGTTTCTGACACGTGTCCTCTTTCATCGGACAAGCCATTCTTGCCACTTGTTCTACAACTTCTTCAAGAAATCATTTCACGTTCACCCACGGCGCATGATAGCGCATGCCCACGTTCCCACCTCCAGAAGCTCCAACCCGACCCGGTTTCATGGATCCTCGATTCCCACTCACCGGAATCATTCTCAAGCTTCTTCAATCTCATCTTCCTCACGCGACTTTTCTGGATGTTTGCATTCGACGCACCGGCGGCGGTGGGGTCTCTTTATTTCCACTCGCTGCTAGCTCCTAACCTTGAAGCCTTCTCGTGCAAGCACGCGCCTGTCCTGCGAACCTTCTTTATAACAGTAGGGACTGACGTGGAACTTTGTTTCATGCGCACGTTTGGGTACATGTTAGCAAAATGGTTGATTTTAAGAGAAGTTGGCGGCGTAGGATTAAAGTCGTTAACGCCGTTAGCATCTCATTACTTAGGATTTTCATACGCCACGGAGGCTCACGGGTTATGGATGTTAAAAGGATACGCGCCTGTAAAGGCAATGAAACCCACGCGCATGAATTTTGACAAATTTCAATTTCCTGTTATTGAAGCGAAAGAAATTGCACTAAAATATACACTGGCCCATCAACAGCTTGAGGCTGTGATACAGTTTGAATATACAGTTGGATTCTATGATGGGTTTATCCAAGTTAGGGCCCGTTTGGATAACATACGTCTTGGTGTGGCAAGATTGGGGTTTAACAAAAATGATGATGAAGAAGATTCTTATTTGCAAGAGAAGCATTTTCCATCTAGGATTCGAGTTTGGGTTGGGCCAGAAATTGGTGCTAATTATGTTGGCGGGTTAAGTTTGGGCCGGTCCACTAACAACGTCGAACGCGAATTCGAAATGCAAAGAGTCTTAAAGGGCAATTTCGGAAACTCAAAACAACCAGAAGTGAAGACAAGGGCAAAGATGGCAACAAAATCAAAGATGAAAAATTGGAGGTGGGACCAAGAAGCGGAAGGGAATGCAGCTGTATACGAAGCGATATTATATGACCACGTGTCAGGGTGTGAGATCGCCACGTGGAAGCCGGTTAACGGGGATGATAAGAATAATCAACTTATGA